GGAGGGGGCGGGACCGGGGAGGGGGCGGATCCGGAGGGCCCGGGCCAAGCTAGCGAGCCCGCTCGCTCCCCGCCGAGCAGAGCCCGCGGCCGGACCCGAATCCCCTGCGCCGCTCTCCAATTCCCTTCCGGCCGCCGCTCTGGACCGCTCCGGACCGCTCGGGGTCCCCGCTCTCGGCGTTGGAGCCTCTGCCGCTGCCACCGCTGTCCGACGTGTCACTGAGAGGGCCCCGCCCCCGGGGTGGGGTCTCGAGCTCCAGCTACCGGAGAGGGAGGAGAAGGGGGAGGTTAAAGGGAAGGACCCCCGGAAGTGCCCCCTCCTCAGTGGGGGAGAAGACGACGCCGGGGGCGGAGTCCCCTACCTCCCCCCGGCGTGGTTGGTGCGTCCCGGGTGACGTCAGAAGCAGCCCGCCCCTGCCTGGATGGTGCGTCCTGAGTGACGTCAGGTGCTGAGACCGGAGCTGTCCATCAGCACCAAAGGCCGCGGGCGGCATCAGGGCATGGGGCCGCTGCTCTGGGGCAGCCCGAGCTCCTGCTCCTGCTCCTTTCCCTTCCCCAGGCCCAGCCCGAGTCCCCGGACGCCGCGGGACTGGAGTGCCAGCTGGTGTTGGAGGCGGAGCGGCGACGCCGCCACGAAGAGACAGGTCCCTCCGGCCCAGCAGCCCTCTTCCCCGCACGTCGGACTTCTCGGACTCCAGTCAGCTGAGGCCTCTGCTGCCCCGCAACCCCGGCCCCTCCGGCCCCTGCATAACCTCTTTCGTTCGGAAGCTCAGGTCGCCTTTAGCCCAGGTAGATTTCGGGCAATCCCAGATTTAACCGCCCACAGACGAGTCTCCTGGCTGCCTCCTCACCGGCAGCACACTGCCCTCATCTCCCCCCAACCCAGTTCCCCTTTTAACTTCTTCGTCCTGGCCCCCTCTAGCCAAGCACTTTTGTTTCCTTTGTCTTTTGCTCCCCTCCACTTTAGGGATGCTCCCGAAGCTCCCTGATGTGGGCACCACTCCTTTGTCCACTGTGTCCTTGCCTAGTTCTCTCACTCCCATTCTTCCCTCATCCTGGTGGAGACCCAGGACTCCTCCTTGACTCCAACTTCCTCTCTGTCAGGCTGACCTGGGAGGGTGACTCCCTTCCATTGCCAGCACTATGCCCGGCACTGTGGCGACACTGCGGTTTCAGCTGCTGCCCCCTGAGCCAGATGATGTCTTCTGGGGTGCACCCTGTGAACAGCCCCTGGAGCGCAGGTACCAGGCACTGCCAGCCCTCGTCTGCATCATGTGCTGCCTGTTTGGAGTCGTCTACTGCTTCTTCGGTGAGACCCCCATCTCATCCCTCACCTGGGCTCCCCATTGTTTCCCTAAGTTATTTTTCTGAGGCACCTCAAATCTTCTCCAGAACTTCACCACCACCACAAATAACTATCTTTTCTTTATTTTTTTCTTTCATGCCACGTTTTCGTAGACCATTTAGACTCTAGAGCCTAGAGAACACAGGTTTTTGAATTAGGCATGCTTCAATTTGAACCTGGTTCTGTACCTTACTAATTGTGATGCCTTGGGCACAATAACCTGCCTGAGCTTGTTTTCTTATCTGAAGAGTGGGAACAATGATATTTACCTCACACGGGGTTATTGTGATAATTAGTAGGGACGCAGTAAATAATAGCTATTGTGGTGAAGATGTGTTTCAGTCACTGTGCTAGGTAGGCACTGAAAATATCCAGCACTGTGATTAAACCTGGTCCCTCACCACAGGGCATAGATGGGGAACAGATTTCTGGAACATTCACACCTGTGATACATGTTACAGTTGACCCTTGAACAACACCGGGGTTTAGGGTGCAGTTAAAAATCCACATATAACTTGTTCACCCTTGGCATTTGCAGATTCCCAACCATAGAACCAAAATACTGTTTTTGATATGCAGTTGTTTGAATCCATGGATGTGAAACCCGGGGATACAGAGGGATGACTGTATATTTACTGAAAAAGAAATCTGTGTATAAGTGATTCACAAAGTTCAAATTTGTATTGTTCAAGGGTCAGCTGTAGAGTAGGCTAGATGATAGTCACACACATGGATGTCACCTGCAAGGCAGGCTCCAGTAATTAGGGCCCCTGGGAACAGTTGAACAGGATGGATACTACATGTGGGAGTTCAGATGAATGGGCAAGTGGGACCTGAAATCCAGCACATGCTCCACTTGCCAAACTCCAGCCCTTGGCACAAGGCTGCTTTGCCTAGAAGAAGGCACATCTTTTTCTAATTTGCAGAAAGGTACCATATGGTCTAGTGGAATAAGTGTCCAGTGATTCTACAGCAAGAGATACAGAACTTCAGAGAAGGGAGCTCTATGGGTGGGGGGCTCAACAAAAGCCTCCAGAAGGAGTATTATAAGCAACTAGAAGAAATGCAAAGGAAGCTGGGATATCTGAGTTCTATGCTGAGGAGAGGTGGGGTGAGACTTGTGCTCTGATGCCTCTACACCTCCTCCTAGAATGGCTGGGCAGTAGGCAGGAATGGAAGCCAGATGGTCCTTTCCTTCCACCCCCAAACTCTTGGCTGAACAATTGCAGAGTGGGCAAGAAGAAGTGCCCCTCTCAGGGTTCAGGACACATTCTGGGCCTCCATGGAATCTATGTCACCTCTCTCCCTCCCCTATCCACATCCACTCCCTCTGCATTTGCTCAGTGCATCCTGACATTCCCTCTCCTGGGCTTGTCTGGCACCCTCCCCCTTGGATGTCCTTACTCCCTGTCTCTTAGACTCTGAGCCCTTGTGTATCCTCTACTCCTCTTTCTAGCCCCAGAACCTCCTGGATTCTGATGCTTCCCCTCAGTCCTAGAACTGAATCTCCTCTTTGACCTTTCTCTTTGGCTCTTCCTGACCCCTTGATCTCCATCTTCCCAACTGTTCAGGATCTACAAGTCCCTCACTCTTCCAGGTACCCTTAATGGGTCCAAAGGCCCTATAACCTCCATTTTCCTGAAACTCCACAACTGCTATTTCACTTCCTTTTTGACTCCCCATGACCCTTTGTAAACCCTAGTGACCCCTGCCCGACCCCCAGTTATCTCTTCACCTTTCATCCCTCTGACTCCATTTCTCCAACTCTCTGATCCCTAGGATCCCATTGCCTTATGGTCCCTCCCCCACCATGTTCTCAGTAATCCCATTTCTCTGGCCTCAATATTACCCTCTCTCTGAATGATTTAATACTCTCAATGATTCCACGTCTGTCATTCCCCCTGACCTGCAAAGACCTCATGTCCTGGAACCAGTCCCTAACAACCCTGCTTCCCCCTTCTCTTTGTAACCTTTAATGGTGTCATGTCTCTGAAGCCCTTAACCCTCATTCCCAAGACCCCATCTTTCTGAATCTATGAGGCTTTCATCTCTCAAATTCTTTCCGATTTCCAAATACCTCATGTCTTTGAACAATCCTTCCCCACAGACCCCAATGACTCTACCGCTGATCCCCTTATGGCCCAAGTGACCTATCTCTCTGATCCCTATGATCCCAAAGACCCCAGTGACCCTATCACTGATTCATTCTCGACTCTAGTGACCTACCTCTGACTCCTCTGACCCTCAAAGACCCAATACTCATCTCAATGACTGTCTATTTTCCAAATAACTCCCAATGACCTATCTCTCTGACCTACCTTGGCCCCATCGCTGGTTCCTTCAGCACCCCAAAGACCCTCAAATCTCTGATTTTAGTGTCCTGCCTCTGGTTCCCCTGTAATTTCATGTCCCTGACCCCTCTAACCTTTTGCCTCTAGCTCAGTGACCTCACTTTGGCCCCTCACTAGCCCCTGTTCCCCTCCAGGTTACCGCTGCTTCAAGGCAGTGCTCTTCCTCACTGGGTTGCTGTTTGGCTCGGTGGTCATCTTCCTGCTGTGCTACCGAGAGAGGGTGTTGGAGACGCAGCTGAGTGCCGGGGCGAGTGCGGGCATCGCTCTGGGCATCGGTTTGCTCTGCGGGCTGGTGGCCATGCTGGTGCGCAGCGTGGGCCTCTTCCTGGTGGGGCTGCTGCTGGGACTGCTGCTCGCCGCTGCCGCCCTGCTGGGCTCTGCACCCTACTATCAGCCGGCCTCCGTGTGGGGCCCACTGGGGCTGCTGCTGGGGGGCGGCCTGCTCTGTGCCCTGCTCACGCTGCGCTGGCCCCGCCCACTCACCACCCTGGCCACCGCCGTGACTGGTGCCGCGCTCATTGCCACCGCCGCTGACTACTTTGCTGAGCTGCTGCTGCTGGGACGCTATGCGATGGAGCGGCTGCGAGCCGCCCCCGTGCCCCCCCTCTGCTGGCGGAGCTGGGCCCTGTTGGCACTTTGGCCCCTGCTCAGCCTGATGGGCGTTTTGGTGCAGTGGCGGGTGACAGCTGAGGGGGACTCCCACACGGAAGGTGAGATGGTACAAGCCAGGGTGGGCATGAGAGAATTGATGTGGGGAAGGGGCTGAGTGATTGGGGAGTGGGAGAAGAAGCTGTACACACCAGGGTTAGAGAGGTGACTCACTCGGGGTGTGTGGGAAGATAGGGTCTCAGTGGCACCATTCATTCCACAACAATGTATGGAGCGGCAGCTCTGTGCGGAGCCCACTCCAGACACCGGGGATACAGCAGAGACAAACAGAAAAGGTCTCTACCCTTATAGGGTTGCATTTGGGTTGGCGAAGACAGATAATAGACATGCAAAGATAATTCCAGTTATGTGGAGTGACATGAAAGAGAGATGTAGGGTAATATGAAAGAGTGACCTATAGAGCCTATTAGAGACAGGGTGCTCAAGGAAGGCCACGTGGAAGTGGTGACATTTAAGCAGAGTGCTGAAGGATCAGGGGCCAGCCAGGCAAAGAGCTAGGGAAGAGGGAGTAGCAAGGGCAGGGGCCTGAAAAGGAATGGGCTTGGCTTGTTGAGGAAGTGGGGCTGGAGTGTGGTGGCTGAGGGATGCCCTCCGAGCCACGATGAGAACTCTGGATTTTATTAGAAGGGCAATGAGATACTGTTAGACATTTAAAGCAGGGAGGATATGATCTAATTTAGCATTTGGAATGCTCATTTTGGCCGCTGAGTGTAGAGAGCCCTGGGGAAGGCAAGTGTAGAAGGGGAACCAGTGAGGAGGCAGCTGTGGTTGTCCGGTAGAGAGATGACAGAGGCTGGTCTCGGCAAGTCACCTAGGGCTCAGGGTTGGGAGAAGGATAATAGCTGGGGAGAGGACACTTTGGAAGTCTAGGAATCTTCCATAAAGACCTTTGGAGGTAAAGAACAACGGAAATCCCATTTGGGAGGTGTGAGACCAGGAAAGAAAAGGGGGAGGTTATAGACAAGGGGAATCCGGAAGCCTGGAGCCCCTAGGTAGGAAAGGAGGAGATGAGGCACGTGGGCCTCTGAGACCCTTCTCTGCCCGACCCGTCACAGTGGTCATCAGCCGGCAGCGACGGCGTGTGCAGTTGATGCGGATTCGGCAGCAGGAAGAGCGCAAGGAGAAGCGGCGCAAGAAGAGGCCCCCTCGGGCTCCCTCCAGAGGCCCCCGGGCTCCTCCGAGGCCTAGGCCCCCTGACCCTGCTTATCGGCGCAGGCCGGTGCCCATCAAACGCTTCAATGGAGATGTCCTCTCCCCGGTGAGCACCCTGAGCCCCTCCAGTCCAAATTCGGAGAAGCGAATGTTGTAGAGTCTGTCCAGGTCAGGACTGGGCCTTCCCCAGGGTCTGGTCACTGTCTAGAAGATCTATTGCTTGTCCACACTTTGTAACCTTTGCATCAGGAGCCTGTTGGACCCAGGTCTGGGATGGGGGAAAGGCGTCTGAGGATTAATTTTAATGAGGGATGGTACAGGGTAGGGTTTCAGCGCTGTGGACTGTGGTGCGGTGAGGTCCTGGGCCTTCATCAATCTGGGATGGCTCAGGCTTGTGAGGGTGCAGGGAGAGAATGTTTGCCTGAGGTGGCTCTCAGGGCAGGGGTCTGCAGCCATACTCACACCTGTGTTTACTCTCCCACAGAGCTATATCCAGAGCTTCCGGGATCGGCAGACAGGGAGCTCACTGAGCTCCTTCATGGCCTCACCCACAGACACGGACTATGAATATGGGTCCCAGGGACCACTGACAGCCTGCTCAGGGCCCCCTGTGCGGGTATAGCAGTATAGCTGCTCCCGCCTGCCCGGGCTCTGCAGTCAACAGCTCTGTCAGCTTGGGGAGGCCTTCTGGGGCACCACCCAGTCTGCCTGTGGGTGTTCTTCCCCCACCTTGGAGAAGACTGGCCTGGCTGCTAGAAGGGAGGACCTGTCTCAGGCTAAGCCTGGCCTGAGAGAAAGCCCCCTCCCAAGCTCCCAAGGGGCTCCTGAGGGATGTGGGGTGTGCTCAGGGTTGTGAGTGTGTCACCTGTGTGTGTGTGTGCGTGGAAGGGTGGGCTTAGAAGGGACAATGGGACACTTGCCTTAGATTTCTGATTGGTAGGGCTTCTGCAAGGTTGGCCCCACCTCCTCCCCCACAGCTGGGGTTCCATGGGCCGCTCTCCTGCATGTCTAAGTGGAGGAGGTCTGCCTTCTTCCCCCATCGCTCTGCCTCTCAACCAGACTCATCTAAGGCTTCTTGTCCTTGTCCATGGGGCAAACTGCAGCACCCCTCACCCTGGTCCCCTGTCCTCTGCAAAGCCACCAGCCTGAGGGCAGTGGCAGAGGATGGGGTTAGGGGTGCTGTTCTGGGGTGGGTTGGGGTGGGGAGCAGGGGGCAGTGGACTTAAATGCATGGTGCATGTCTGCTGTCTGTCATGCCATCCTGGACACCTCATGCTTCTGTCTCCCCCCACCCCACCCTGTTTTACATCTTTTATAAATGTGCCAAACTAGTGGCTTCTGCCAGGAATGGTGGTCTTCAGTGGCTGGCACGTCCATGGGCCAAGTTAGAAGCACTGTTGCTCTTGGTCTCCTGTGTCACTCACTACACAGGGGCTCCAGGCAAGTTCTGCCTTCCTACGTCACACAGAGAGCCAGGGAAAGGGGCTGCATCGCTTTTATTGTCTCCCAACATCTCTGGTTCCCCTGTTCCCCCGCCCCTGCCCAGGGTAAAGACACGAGCCTTCCAAGCTGTCCGAGGGCACCCGCCTGGCCTGGTTCGATCCTCCTAGCTACCTGCAGAGGAATGACTTCGCGTGGGGCTGGGGAGGGAATGGGTACCACCTTCCTCCCCTGGCAGAGCCTGGGTACCCACACAGAAGCAGGGCCCTCACCCTCTGCCCCACCCTTTCTGGGCTTTTGTTGGGGCTATCCGGGGGAGTGGGAAAGTGGGAGTCGGTTAGGAGTGGAGCAAGGCATCTAAAAGGAACTCAGAAATTCGAGTGGAAGGTGGGGCATCTCCTATATGGAAGAGGAAAGAAATGAGACGAGCTCTGGAGCCCTCTGCCCAGGCTAATGTTGAACTCATGAGATGAGCAGAAGCCAGCTGGGCAGAGGGCAGAAGGGGAGTGAGGAGTAGTTGGGGAGCACAGACCAGGAGCCAGTAGTTGAGAAGGAGAGGAACTCGGGTACAACCGGGGCATTCAGGAGAGACAAACATGGTCCAGAGGCAGGAGGGAGTGAGAGAAGCTGGGACAGGAAGGGGTGTAGAAAGGTGGCAACAGCTGCCCTAAACCAAGTGGTTCCTGTTGAGAACACAGCTCTCTCCTCTCCTCAGCCTGGGTGACATCTCCAGCCTCCCTACTCCCTACCTTCAACACATCCCAGAACCAACTTGCTATCTTTTGTCCTGGAAAACCTTGGGGTAGGTGTGTCTCAGCCCACCCACCTGCTCCTAGGCGACCCTTCCTGCCTGGCCAGCCCGCCTGCCACTCTAACCTCTGCCCAGTAGGCTTCACTCACCCTCTACCAGCAGCCGCGTGTGCGCGCTGTCCTGGCCGGCCTGGCAGCAATAGGTGCCCTGGTCCTCAGGTCGCACGTCATGGATGACCAGGCTGTGGGTGGAGCCATGGCTGCGCAGCTCGTACTTGTCTCCCGGACACAGCTTGACCCCCTCCCGCAACCAGCACACGTGGTCCCCCGAGCGGGACACAGTCACCTCCAGCACGGCCCGGCGGCCGACTAGGACCGTCTTCTCGCGAGGGGGGCGGCGGCACATCTGCAGAGGCAGTGCTAGGGGTGGAGAACGAGGGCTTAAGTTAATAGGGACACGCAGGGCCCCCAGGAGGAGAAATGCATCTTCCCTGCCCTTGCAGCCTCGACTCCTGGTCTCAGATCTCTATGCCACCAGCCCGTTCCTCCGTACCCCCAACCCAAAGTCTCCTCCTCCCCGTCTCCTCAGGAAATCCACTGCCCTCTGTGACCTGCCCCAGGAGAGCCCCTTGAGGAAAGGAGGTGGGGGAGGCAGCGTTCCTAGGACCAAGCCGCCAGCCTGCCAGTCCCAGGGATGTGATGCCCACTCCTGGGGTTCCCCCCGCAGTTGCTCACCCTCCACCTCCAGCTCAGCCACGGACTGGGCGGGTCCTGCCTGGAAGTGAACCTCGCCGGCTTCCTCCGTGCGCAGTTCGCTCAGCACCAGAATATGTTTCTTCCCTGAGGGGGGGCGGGTGCGCTAGCGAGGCCAGAGCTTCCTCTGGGGAGGATTCGGGGATGAAGGTAGGGCCAGAGTAGGTCCCTGGGTCGGTTCGGACTCGATAAATGCGCTGGGGTGAACGGAACTGGGATGCGAAGGTGGAAGAGGAGCGGGCCAGGACCGAGGGCTCAGCACTGGGGGCCGCGGAAAAACAGGGAAGAGGCTCGTTGGGTCGTGGGGCGGGCCCATTCTAGTAGGAGGCGGGGCCTATCTTAGTGGGGTGGGGTCTCCGTGGGCCGGGGGCGGGGCAGCAAGGAGCCAGAGTGGATGCGGTCTGCCAGACCTTCCTGTCGGATGCGGACGCGGCCTCCAGGTCTCAGTGGGCGGCCTCCGAGCTTCCAGCTCCCGGTGATCTCGACCTCTGACACGGTGCACTCGAACGTGGCGCTGTCGCCCTCGCGGGCGCGCACCGACCGGAGCTCGGAGAGCACAGACACCACGCGCTCTGGGGCGGAGTCGGGGGCGTGAGGCGGGGCGGGGCGGAGCGGAGGCAGCAGACCACGCCCACACCTCTCCCCTCTCCCAACAAGCTCCGGAGTCGGTCCGTGGGGAAGGCGGGTCTGCAGTCCCCGAGTTCGCATCAATGTCCCCCCGCAGTAGTGCCCCGTACCCACCGCGCACTGTCAGGCGGACGGGTCCGGCACGAGCAGGCCCCACCGCGCAGCTGTAGTTCCCGGAGTCCAAGGGGCTGCAGCGCCGCAGCTGGAGAAGGCGCCGCGTGCCGAGGGCCTGGAGCCTGAGCCGAGGGCTGGGGATGAGCCGGCGCCCATCCTAAGGGGCGGGAGTGGCAAAGAGTTGGGATGAATTCGGCTGGGCACCGGCGACCGCAGCCCACGGAGGCGGCGGCGCCCTCTGTTGATGTCAAGCGATTTCTAGGCGCGGTGATGCTTGGCTGTGTCTCCCAGCTGGGGTCGGGCCGTCCTGTGCCTGCGGGCTGTGCCAAGAGCCTCACTGGGAAGATGTCACCCTTTAGGGATGTTAAGGCTGAGAAGGGGCGCCACAGGAGTGGGAAGCCCAGATTCATGTACCCATAGCACTGGCCATGAGCTTGGATTCTGGAATTAGGCAAACCTGGATTCAAATATGGGCCCTACCCCTTTTGTCTGTCCCTGGGCAATTCTCACCCCATAGAGCCTCAGTCTCCTTATAGCTAACACTGAGATAACAAGATTTACCTCAAAGGGTTGCTGTAATGATTAAAGGATTAAATGTAAATCTGAGTACAGTGCCAGGAACATCTGCTCAGTGAGTATTAGTTGTTTTGTTATTATTATTACGGTGCCAAGGTGGTCTGGGATGGGGCTGGGCTCTGACCTTCTCCCAGGTGACATCAGCCAAGGCCTGAGAAAGCTCGCATTCGAACGTAGCTGTGTCGCCCTCGGTCACCTCAAGGTCCTGTGGCCCTTGCACAATGGTCACTGGGGCCTCTGGGAGTGGGAAAAGGAGGACAGTGCAGAGAGAGCAGGGCTCAGGGCAGGATGGGGACCCAGCTTACAGGGACAGGGAGAACACACATGGGCACAAGGTGTCAGTGGTGGACACGTTCTGACAAGGTGATTAGTGGAAGCCACTAGTGAGTGGGGGATGTGCTGGGATGAATGGTCAGTGGGGGATGCTGGCCAGTGGAGGACACAGTGGGGTTACAGGGGTCAATGGGGCAGGAGTAGCCAGCTGGCAGTAACCCTTTAAGGTGGTCAGTGGGGGACATGCTGGTGCTGGAGGGGCATGGTGGGGAACCGAAGCAGAGATGCCAGTGGAGTCACCCACAGACAGGCATGGCCAGTGGATGCCACACTTGGCTAGAATGAACAGGAGACACTGGACAGTGGGGGACACAGTGGATTCAGAGGAGCAATGAGGGGGGCTCTAAGCAGGTGTTGTCAGTGGGGAATACACTAGGCTAGAAGCAAAAATGGGGGACACTGAAGCAAAGTTGCTAGTGGAGTCACCCTTAGGCACAAACAGTGGATCATTGGGACTTGGGTGGTCAGAAGAGCACACTCGGGCAGGCAGAGAAGGACACAACAGGCAGGCATGGTCAGTGAGGCCACACTCAGAATGGTCAGTGGGGCCATGGTCAGGCAGGCAGACAACGGGGACCACGCTGGCATAGGCATGCTCACAGTGGAATAGTCAGTGGTTCACAGGGACTTAGGCACAAACAGTGGATCATTGGGACTTGGGTGGTCAGAAGAGCACACTCGGGAAGGCAGAGAAGGACACAACAGGCAGGTATGGTCAGTGAGGCCACACTCAGAGTGGTCAGTGGGGCCATGGTCAGGCAGGCAGACAATGGGGACCACGCTGGCATAGGCATGCTCACAGTGGAACAGTCAGTGGTTCACAGGGACTGGAGGGAGGGTCAGTGGAGCCACGCTTAGGTAGGACAGCCACTGGGGCCACACGGGGCCAAACATTCAGGGAACTCACATGCTGGCAGAGAGGTCAGCGAGGGGCACACTGGGACAGGCATGGTCAGTGGGGGCCACACAGGTAGTGGGATCAGTAGAGTCACACCCAGGCTGGTCAGCAGGTGGGCAGTGGTCCTAGAGACCGCACCTCTCACAGTGAGTCTGGCTGCACAGCGCAGGGAGTCCGTAGTGAAGGAGACGCAGCCTGAGTCAGCCAGGCCCAAGCCACTGAGTACCAGGTGGTGAGTGTGGCCCTCTGCATGAATGTGGCACTGGGGCCCTGGGTGCAGCCGGACTCCACCCCGGGCCCATTCCCCAGTCACGCCATCCTGGGACAGCTCCAGTTGGAAGGTGGCGCTGCCCCCCTCGATGATGGTCACATCCTTCAGAGGCTGCAGCACCCTTAGCTGCCTTGCTGGTGGAGGGAGATGGGGGAGAGAGGAAGGATGAGGCTTCCAACTCTGAGCACAGGTTTAGGTGGGCTCATGCATCTCTTGGCCCTACGTGCACCACCCCTAACACCCGACCTCGTAAGGACCTATTAAACAAAACTCAGAACCAGGGTGCAGGAAGAAGGGAGCACAGCTTACCAGATTTGGGGGGAGAGAAGCGGTTATTGGGGTTAGAAGAGGGGACACATGAAGGAGTGAGGTCTGGTTAGAGAACTGAGGAGTCTGGGTGGGGGATGCTGTGACATTGGAAGGAACACAGGATTTGGAGTCAGACATACCAGCATCGGACCCTAGCTCTGCCATACAGTTTGTGAGCTGTGTGACTTTTCACAAACTGCTTGACCTCTCTGGGCCTTAGTTTCCCCAATTGTACAAGGTAAATAGCATTGAGACACACGGGTTTATTATGATTAGA